TGAACGAGTTGCTCATGAGTCTTCTGAGTTAAAACTTGGCTCTAGTTCAAGCACATTGAATCCAAACTCGAGCTCAGATGATGCATTTTGTAAGTTTGGATGCTCAATGGACGACTCAAGTATATAAATATGAAATTCCCTAAATATTCCTTAAAAATAAAAATAATACAAGTGGTTGGATATGTATTCAAGCCTTTTCTCGAGACATTAATCAGTTTACCAAAAATAAATGAAATTGAGATAATTTATTTCAGCATCAAGCAACATAAGATTTGGAGATATATACGAGTGTTTTATAAAAGTTGATTCATAGCCATAGGTATTGAGTTGAGCGCATATGATTTGGAAATCATATAAGAACATTACGACGTGTATGCCATAAGCAAAGGTAACTTTTATCATTGCAAAGGAACTTTGTGAAGGAAAAATACTCACAAAGGCATCTCCAATGGTAATAGTTATTACTAGCTATATGGTTAGCTGACGTGGATGTGAGAGATAAGAAAAATAACTATTTTACATTATTGGACCCACGTACTCCTCTCACATAATCTTGGGTTACGTGAAATAAATAAGTTATTTGTTAATAGCTAGTGACTACTATCTCTCTTACTTTTCCCCTGTCCACGTCATAATAGTTAGCCAAATAGCTAACCATTGAAGACGCCCTAAAAGGTAAAACAAACAAATATTATAAGTTGGTGTTTCATGCTTGTGTCATTTAATCCATTGTTGAAAACTTCAAAGGAAAGATAAGACATCTTTTTCTTCTCCACCATAATTACATTAGTTTTCAGATTAATTTATTCTTCTCCATCATAATTGCATTACATTTTTTGATGATTATATACTTGCATTGTAGTGTTAGTAAGATTTACTTATGGCAATAAGTTCAAAAAATAATATCTCAGTGTTATAGCAAACAAGAAAAATAAAATGGAAGGTCTATTTCGTGGGAAATTTATATATTAAAAAAATAAAAATACAATTGGACAAAAAAAACACAAAAACACGTATTATGAGAATACGTTTTACATACATATTTTATTGTAAAATGTATTCTCATAATACGTTTTACATATTTTTACAATGTAAAACGTATTATGAGAATACGTTTTACAATGATAAACATATTCTCATAATATATGTCTTTTTGATTTTTCTCCACCCGAAATTGTTTGTGTATTTTTTGTTCCACCACTTTATTTATTTATTTTTATTTTTTAATTTTAAGGTAAAAAATCCTATTTTCATTCTCCCTCCTATTTAGTTATGTCTAAATATTATATTGTTATATATGGCAAGTAAATATTTACACTAGTATCTAATAGACATTATTTATATATAGTTGCCTTTTACCATATTTGTTGATTATATTGTTTAAGAGCATCTCCAATACTCAATGATATAGTGGTAAATTACATTACATATCAACACATTTATTAATATCACAATTTTTCATCCTCCAATATACAATGTGATCACAAATGTTATGATGATGTGGACATAATTAATGTCTACAATGTAGATAAGAATGTGGTTTATCCACATTCTACTCCACACTCTAATAATCTAATTAGCCAATTAGGAGAAAAGAGAGAATTATCATTACCATTTTCAAACTATTTAATTATTTAATTAATTTTATTAATTCATATTATAATTTTATTATTTGGCAAGTAGATAATATTGTAATTAGACAACATTATGCATTGGAGATAATTTTTTAATTTAATAATTGTGAACTCAACATTTATCCTACTTGGTTCACAATCTATTTAATTTTTGACATTTGTAAAAAAAAAAAAAAATTCTATAACAACATTAGAACATTGGAGATGCTCTAAGGAGATCGTTGTTGGGTTCTATGAGGAACGTCAAACAACATGCACAGTATTGAACTTATCGAAATAAATCCTAACGCAGCGGAATTGTTTGTAGTATTTTTGGGCAATTGGTAACCGAGTTACCCGGACTCGGGTCGTTCTCAAAGGAAGGCTCTTCGGAGCTTCGTTCACTATCTAGTCGCCAAATCACACAACCGAAAAGGTCCTAAACATGCTACTCGCAATTTGGGGGTTTGAATTAAAGCTAGACTAATCTACGAAATTGAAGGCAATTGAAAACAATTAACAAAGCAAGAGAAAGTACGCAAGAAGATGAGAGAAATCAAGGGGGAAAGAGAGATTTTGGTTCGTCGGAGTCTATATGATCAAACACACACAAATAACCGAACATTGTCATGCTAGCTAAAACCCTAGGTAGCTAAACCAAACTCTAGCACAAGATGAGCAAGCATTGAACTCCTAATCACACTTACTTAAGCATTCACGATCTAAAGATTCAATCTTTTCCTCCAAGCAACTCAAGCACAATATCAATTTTCAGAAAAGCAAACAAAGATATACGAAGTAATGAGGCTTAAGACTAAGTACCCACTCTTACACGCACTTGGAAGGAGAAACGGAGTCAAAAGCTCGAAACTTTACTCGAAACAATGTCACCGGAAATTCGCCGGAAAACTTGATTCATATGCTCCAAACCAAAATATAAAAAAAAGGAAAAAAGAAAATTGAGAGGATTTTCCCAACTTAAAAGTTGGGAAATGAGGGTTGTGTCTCAAAATACAAAGCACAATGTCTATTTATAGCTACACCACAAACACACACTAAAAACACACCCATTTAATGAAATTCTGCAGTTTGCGGGTCTCGAAACGGGGTTCGCAGCGAGTTTCGGAATGGAGTAGTGCAGAAATGGGTGTTTCGCGGGTCGCCAACGGGAGTTCGCTGGCGAGTGTGGGCTTGTGAGCTGGGGACACGCGTTTCACGGGGCGCGAACTCAGGTTCGCCTGCGAGTGGCTGCAAGCTTGTATGGGGTGCGCCTTTCGCGGGTCGCTAGGTCGTGTTCGCTGGCGAGTTGGGGTTTGTGTGCATGCTATGGTGTTGCGCTTCGTTGGCCGCGAGAAGCATGCATATAGCAGCGAGTGCACGGGTGTTGGAGGAGTCTCGCGTCGTGCCGCCTCCATGGCGCCAACCGCATTTCGCAGCGAGTGCGCGTCCTAGACTGATGCGTGTTGTGGCCGTTTCGCGGGGCGCGAAGGCATGTTGGCTGCGAGTGTGGGCAACGGTCGGCTTACTTATGGCTAGGCTCACGGTTTGATCGAATGGCTTGGTTGGATCGTTGTTGGTTCAGGTGCTTCAAAAATAGCTCGAAAATGGCACGAACGACTTGTCTTCCAGAAATTGCGATATAGACCTAAACAACACACCAAAAGAGACGCAAAAATACGACAAATACAAGAACACATAATAAAAATAAAACACATAAAACACGATAAAATGGACCGTTTAACACTCTAACGAACCTAAAAATGACTTGACTAACACATAAAACCCAAGAAAATAAGCACAAAATTATAACAAACAGGAATCTATAGTTAGGATATGGACGTTTACCTTTTAAAATTTTTGCCGACTCAGAGACGATGTAGAATACCGTTGGTGTAGTTCGTCTGAACACCACAATCTAATGGGCAGATAGATTTGGCCTTTAATCGATTCTAATTGATAAATCACAAGAACCTTGGTCGCACGATAGTCGGGTCTAGGCGTTGGGTGCAGCAGGCTGGTCGCGTGTCTCGGTCGCGGTCACTGGCAGCAGTGGTCGACTCAC